TGCTTGCATCATTTCCTTAGTTTCAGTGCTTGCATTATTTCCTTAGTTTTAGTGCTTGTATCATTTCCTTAGTTTTAGTGCTTCGTATCATTTCCGTAGTTTCATTGCTTGTATTATTAAGGATTAGTTTTAGTGCTTGTATCATTTCCTTAGTTTTAGTGCTTCGTATCATTTCCGTAGTTTCATTGCTTGTATTATTAAGGATTAGTTTCAGTGCTTGTATTATTTCCTTAGTTCCAGTGCTTGTATCATTTCCTTAGTTTCAGTGCTTGTATCATTTTCGTATAGTTTCAGTGCTTGTATGATTTGCTTAGTTTCATTGCTTGTATCATTTCCTTAGTTTCAATGCTTGCAGCATCATTTCCTTAGTTTCAGTGCTTGTATCATTTCCTTAGTTTTAGTGCTTGTATCATTTCCTTAGTTTCAATGCTTGTATCATTTCCTTAGTTTCATTGCTTGCATCATTTACTTAGTTTCAGTGCTTGTATCATTTCCTTAGTTTCAGTGCTTGTATCATTTCCTTAGTTTCATTGCTTGTATCATTTCCTTAGTTTCAGTGCTTGTATCATTTCCTTAGTTTCAGTGCTTGTAACATTTTTTTAGTTTCAGTGCTTGTATTATTTTCTTAGTTTCAGTGCTTGTATCATTTTCTTAGTTTCAGTGCTTGTATCATTTCCTTACTTTCAGTGCTTGTATCATTTCCTTACTTTCAGTGCTTGTATCATTTTTTTTCTTAGTTTCAGTGCTTGTATCATTTCCTTAGTTTCAGTGCTTGTATCATTTTTTTTCTTAGTTTCAGTACTTGTATCATTTCGAGTGTTTTAAGCATTTGAGCAGTTTCAATCAATATGTCGCACCTGTAACTGGACATACTTTTTTGAAAATCCAAAAATTGACATTTATGTCCATTATTAATGGCGTGGCAGGCTATAATTGATGGTAAAAGAAGAAATACGAGCCTCTAGTCAACTTGAAAATGCCTCCTTTTAATTGAGTAAGTGGTTGTAAATCAAGGTTTGAGGTCATGTCGGCTAAAAGAAGTGGTTTGGAATAAGTGAGGCGTCTGGCATTTTAACAAGTCTAAATTACCCATGAAATTGTCTTGACTTTAAAGTGATTACTAAATTTGGTAAAGAAGGAATGTAAATGTCTTATACTATAAGCCATCAATGAGTGTCACATATAATAGATATGACAATTTTCAATGTGCTGTCTATGAGCATTTAATGATTCCCGCGGGAAGAAACTTACCCGAAAGTATTGATCTCATAGCTATTTAAGGAACTCCCTATCACTTTATCACTTTAACTATATCATAAAAACCAGCTCAATAATTCATGATTTTCTATTCAATGGAAAAAATATCATTTATAGGATTGTTGGATTTTGCAGATTAACGATAAACTCCCCATTAAGGATGCTGTAATCTAACCCGATTTCCTTCTTTTATGGGCAGTCATCATAAGTCCATTGTGATACACTCATAAAATGTAAAATTATAGAAAAAGGTCGCAAAAGTGACTCGTTGAGAGTTATTAAACTGAGCCATATACTAGATCCTAACGTATTAAGGAAAGGTTAATACCAACCAATGGCATACGTCATAAAATTTTATGATGATTAATAACTGTTAGCGAGGCAGTTTTATCGTACAATTAGTCTTCATGATGTAATATTTGAAAATCAAGAAAACCTGCCAATTTCACTTATTCGATTCGTTAAGCAGTTTAGATTTGGTTACATTGAGATTAAGTACCCTTTTTCTCATTTGTTTGAAAGTTTCGATGACATTGTCAAGGCAACCTACAAAGTACAAACCATTGTCTCTTAAGCAGTAAGTAGTAAGGATAAGCATATCAGTGCTATAAATTATTTCGAAACGTGTGTATGCTCATCTACAATATATGACGTGCAGGGATGATTCCATTAATTACCAGCCACCCTATTATAATTATGGTTGTAAATGGGAAATGATGAGCATATTTGAGTAAGAAGGGAAATGATGAACATATTTTAGTATTAGGGAAATGATGAACATATTTTAGTAAGAAGGGAAATGATGAACATATTTTAGTAAGAAGGGAAATGATGAACATATTTTAGTAAGAAGGGAAATGATGAACATATTTTAGTAAGAAGGGAAATGATGAACATATTTGAGTAAATAGGGAAATGATGAACATATTTTAGTAAGAAGGAAAATGATGAACATATTTTAGTAAGAAGGGAAATGATGAACATATTTTAGTAAGAAGGAAATGATGAACATATTCTAGTAAGAAGGGAAATGATGAACATATTTTAGTAAGAAGGGAAATGATGAACATATTTTAGTAAGAAGGGAAATGATGAACATATTTTAGTAAGTAGGGAAATGATGAACATATTTTAGTAAGAAGGGAAATGATGAACATATTTTAGTAAGGAGGGAAATGATGAACATATTTTAGTAAGAAGGGAAATGATGAACATATTTTAGTAATAAGGGAAATGATGAACATATTTTAGTGAGGAGGGAAATGATGAACATATTTTAGTAATAAGGGAAATGATGAACATATTTTAGTAAGGAGGGAAATGATGAACATATTTTAGTAAGAAGGGAAATGATGATCATATTTTAGTAAGGAGTGAAATGATGAACATATTTTAGTAAGAAGGGAAATGATGAACATATTTTAGTAAGAAGGGAAATGATGAGCATATTTATGAATTTAAGTAAGCTTGCTTGATTGACTCCCGTTGACCTGGAGAGGATTGGAGTTGATAATGTCATGTTAACATATTTACTTAATCAGGTCCTTAGCCAGATTTCATCTAGGGATGTGAGTCTGAGCATGTCTCATGCCAATGAACTTGAGACAGAAGCTAAGTAATGGGAGTCTGGAAACCTTATCCCCATAAAAGTCAAATGGTAGGATTTAGTGAGTTAGAAGTGAATTATTCCATTGTGTTTTAGTTAGGTTTTCACTTAGTCTTGGCTAAAGGAGACTCTATTAACAATCCTTGCTATGCAGAAAACACCTTGTATGGATACAATGTGTGCTGTGCGGAACCAGTGGACAATTGATATATTGACAGATAGAACAAGGAAATTGTATACATAGTTGTGTACTTCATTCTTTGTGATGGAGTGAGCATCTCCAATCAGTACCCTTTGCATTCATTTGACTTCACTTCTTAAAAGAGAGCTTCGTCTTCACTCTTTCAAACTAAAATAAACCCGTGAACTCACCGCGCCAATCAGTGTTCCTCGGCCAAATTTGACCGACGTTCTATATATGATCATTCCTTCTGTCGTCATCGTTGAATCCGGAATTGACCAATGACATGCGCATATTTAATTAGAACGCTTTTGGCGTATGTTTCTTCAAGCTCGTTGATTGGTGGATTTATTACCCAAACTGTCACCGGTACCCGTCGTGGGGGCGGGGCTACTAAACTGTAATATGGTCTCTACTAGGCAGAGTGTAGTTTAACTAGACTCTGCACGCAGGGTACCAACCAAAGATTTTAAAATTCTCACTTTTGCACTGCATTCTTAAAGGTGCAACAATGAGTGGAGATAGGTCATTCAACCATCATGGACAAGTATCAAAGTATATTGAAGTTTGGTTATTTCTTCAAGACTAACATATATTTTTATTATTTTAAAAGAAACTCCCTGGATGAACATTATTTCAGCTGATATTACTCTTGAAACATGGTGAATCTTAACAATCTAAAAGTGGGACTCCCTCTATAGAAGCTTTGAACTGAATTTACACTTCTTAATGCTGAAATTGATAGTTTATCCATACATTTTAAGAAAATAGGTATGTCAAAGAAGATGTTAAGCCAAATCTTGCCCTGATAGCTCAGAAAAAGTAAAATATTTCAAATTTTTTCCCTACAGCCTTGAGCCCAACCCACATTTATTTGGAAGATGAATATATAGTATATAGTTAAAGAGATCCAGTCCCAATATAATAGACTAGATGCGAATAGACATAATCTTGATTTACGTCATTAAATATTCAAAAAAATATTCAATATTTGAAATCTACATGTAAAAGTACATCTTGAAATATGGTTTCGAAAATTGTTTATCAACTTTGAAAATTAAATTTTTTTTGAAAGTTTGACTTCTCATTTGGGTTGACTCCCCATAGACCCAATGTTACAAAATCACAAAAAGTGAAATATCTTTTCTTGTATTGGACAGATAACATTTTCCTTTACTGGACGTATTTCAATTTGCATAACTATTAGATACATAAGGATTATATGAAAATTGAACCACTAAAACAAATGTAATTTAATTTAAAGGGAACTTTCTGCTATACCCGCCATGCTATCTGACCCGAACGAGCCACCTGGTGGTGAACTAAATACCTACTCGCATCTGCGTTATTGCTCAGAAAACATCATATATACCTTAGATATATCTTGAGACCAAATCGTAAGCACAGTATCACCAATATATTGAGGAAATCAAGAGGACAACCAACAGAACAACCAACTGTCAGAATTGAACGCAATAAGTTTAAAACAATATACAATGTTTTTTGGGGATTAATATCTCGCCTATATTTTAACCCCTTAGAAGTTATAAATATGGCTTCTCTGAGCCAAAACAATCTGTTGAAACTGAAGAAAAAAAGCCAATCAGACTGGAGCAAATTTGAGCGGGCTTTTTATATTTTATTAAATTCATGGCTATGAACAATCATCAAATTGATACTGTGACGAATTAATTCAATTGTTCTTTAGCAACTTAAAACTAGGCTCCATGGAGCAACTCTACAAGAAGTTTCAGATGCCTGGATCAACTTTGTGCAAAAATTCATACTCTTGAAATCAAGGGGAGAACATATTTGTTTGACACCCTGTATGGTAAAGCCTCTGACTATTTCCCCCATACGGTTCTGTTTAATCATTTTTATTAAACTGCAAATCAGATTGCGGAAATTCTCCGTTTAGTAAAAACCACTAATGTTTTGACTTTGATTTGCTTTCAGAGAAAATGATGTGCGCTCACTAGCTCCAGATGATTATGACATCAAGATATTCTGCCCTGAAAAGTAAGTGATTCGCTTACATTAACCTACTAAATAATATAGTCCATAATAACGTAATTAGTTTGAGGTTTGGGTACTACCTGGATGACCCTAACTGCAGTTACATACATTTATAATGGATGTTGACTGTATGCAGCTTTTCCCCAAGGTCTGTGTTTACATAGCTTTTAAGTAAGGTTATTGTTACAAAATACATTAAGCTGAATTATGTTATCATTTATGATATGATAATGTTTCCCTTGACATTTAAACCTTGTGCCATATGTTTCAGTTTACCATATAAAATTAGATATAAGTAAATATCTATACTAATATGCACTCTATTTTGCACTGGGAACACTTTTGCCAACTCATTTCAAAATTCACTTTTCTCAAAGTAAACAAATATTCATAATACTTGATCACTCATTTTCCAAAATAAAATTAACCTTTTTAGTCAAAATTAATTAAAATAGAAGATGTATTTTCAGTTTGGTAATCTTTACATAACATTTTAAAGATGCGTTTTTAAATTATAATATAAATTAATAAGATAAAAATAAGTATTATGATAAGTTAATGTAAAAATTGTTTTTTCACAAAAGTAAATAAAAATAAAACACAAAACATGAAGCCATGCATCTTTTGGTCAGGGAATGACCCATTTAAAAATGTTTTTTCAGAGTAAAACAATTAACTTTTTTAACTAATATGTTTTTCAGTCCAATCACCTATACATGGTCAGGAGGATCAAAAATCTCAAAGGACAATAGCAGTTTTTCCAAATTAATGGTCACTAGACAACAATACGAAGAACATGGACCAAATATTTGTTTAGAAAAATTTAATTTGTAAGAGATAATTGAAGAGCTGAGGAACACGCTTAGCAATACCCAATGCACCTGAGCAGATAAATAACAGAAAGGGATAATTGTTCTACAAAGAACAGAGATAAAGGCTCAGGAATAAAGTGTAAAATTGTATAGATATAGAACTAGGCTTAATAAGGAAGTGCTTTACTTCCTGGGAAGTTCTTACTTCCTGGGGAGAAGGACTTTGCTTGAGGGTCTTTGATATTTCAACAAATTGTTTTTCTTTCTTTATAAAAAATCAAATGTCAACGTCCAAACTCATCAGGGCTGTAGAACTTGAGTTAGAAGACAAACGATTAATTCTATATGCAGCTCAGGAGCATCATTTCACAATGTGAAATTTGATAAACCAGATATACAATAGATGACGCAAATATATTTCATTATCTCGACCTCAGTTGTTCATCAGTTTGACTTTATCTTCAATCAGCTGCTGGAATAGTTTTATCTGCAATCTGCAACACCTGTTACGCTCTTTTGGTGAGAAATACCAATGTATCTGTTAAGTCAGAGTTCAGGCTGACCTAGGCATCGAGAAGAGAATGTTCTCATATTTTAAAATTCATCATAAATTCTCATACAATCATCTGTGCAGTGTCACATCATTGAGCTTAAATAATATAAGGGTACCTCGATGGATTTTATTTTTGCAAAACCACATGGTGAAAAAAGAAATTATTTTATACGGATGAAAAATAAATATTAATACACAATGTCATAATGTGATGATGTCTGCCAAGCAGTATTAAATTGTTGGGCTCTGGTGATTATTCATAATGACGGAATAAAATCTAGAAAGATTACAATATTATTGGTTTCATGTTGCAGGTAATTTACTCTGACATTGTTTTATGTCAGTGTGTTTTCTGTCATGTTTAACATCCTTTCGTAACAGTTTCATAATTAACTTGTCTAAACTGACGCTTTTTGTTTCTTAAACAACAGGATATGCGCCATTTATATTTACGCCCTTGGTCAAATATATGGAATGTTGTGCATTTCACAAGACACACCATTTATATTAACACCCATGGTCAAATATATGGAATGTTGTGCATTTCACAAGACACACCATTTATATTTACACCCTTGGTCAAATATATGGAATGTTGGGCATTTCACAAAATGCACCATTTATATTTACACCCTTGGTCAAATATATGGAATGTTAGGCATTTCACAAAATGCACCATTTATATTTACACCCTTGGTCAGATATATTGAATGTTGGGCATTTCACAAAATGCACCATTTATATTTACACCCTTGGTCAGATATATGGAATGTTGGGCATTCCACAAAATGCACCATTTATATTTACACCCTTGGTCAAATATATTGGGCATTTCAAAAAATGCACCATTTACACTAACACCCTTGGTCAAATATATGGAATATTAGGCATTTCATAAAATGTACCATTTATATTTACACATTTGGTCAAATATATGGAATGTTGGGCATTTCACAAAATGCACCATTTATATTTACACCCTTGGTCAAATATATGGAATGTTAGGCATTTCAAAAAATATATGGAATGTTGTGCATTTCACAAGACACACCATTTATATTTACACCCTTGGTCAAATATATGGAATGTTGGGCATTTCACAAAATGCACCATTTATATTTACACCCTTGGTCAAATATATGGAATGTTGGGCATTTCACAAAATGCACCATTTATATTTACACCCTTGGTCAGATATATTGAATGTTGGGCATTTCACAAAATGCACCATTTATATTTACACCCTTGGTCAGATATATGGAATGTTGGACATTCCACAAAATGCACCATTTATATTTACACCCTTGGTCAAATATATTGGGCATTTCAAAAAATGCACCATTTACACTAACACCCTTGGTCAAATATATGGAATATTAGGCATTTCATAAAATGTACCATTTATATTTACACATTTGGTCAAATATATGGAATGTTGGGCATTTCACAAAATGCACCATTTATATTTACACCCTTGGTCAAATATATGGAATGTTAGGCATTTCACAAAATGCACCATTTATATTTACACCCTGTGTCAAATATATGGAATGTTGGGCATTTCACAAAATGCACCATTTAGATTAACAACCTTGGTCAAATAAATGGAATGTTGGGCATTTCACAAAATGCACCATTTACATTAACACCCTTGTTCAAATATATGGAATGTTAGGCATTTCACAAAATGCACCATTTATATTTACACCCTTGGTCAAATAAATGGAATGTTGGACATTTCACAATATGCACCATTTATATTAACACCCTTGTTCAAATATATGGAATGTTAGGCATTTCACAAAATGCACCATTTATATTTACACCCTTGGTCAAATATATGGAATGTTGGGCATTTCACAAAATGCATCATTTATATTTACACCCTTGGTCAGATATATGGAATGTTGGGCATTTCACAAAATGCACCATTTATATTTACACCCTTGGTCAAATAAATGGAATGTTGAGCATTTCACAAGAATGCACCATTTATATTTATACCCTTGGTCAAATATAACACCCTTGGTCAAATATATGGAATATTAGGCATTTCACAAAATGTACCATTTATATTTACACATTTGGTCAAATATATGGAATGTTGGGCATTTCACAAAATGCACCATTTACACTAACACCCTTGGTCAAATATATGGAATATTAGGCATTTCACAAAATGTACCATTTATATTTACACATTTGGTCAAATATATGGAATGTTGGGCATTTCACAAAATGCACCATTTATATTTATACCCTTGGTCAAATATATGGAATGTTGTGCATTTCACAAGACACACCATTTATATTTACACCCTTGGTCAAATATATGGAATATTAGGCATTTCACAAAATGTACCATTTATATTTACACATTTGGTCAAATATATGGAATGTTGGGCATTTCACAAAATGCACCATTTATATTTACACCCTTGGTCAAATATATGGAATGTTGGGCATTTCACAAAATGCACCATTTATATTTACACCCTTGGTCAAATAAATGGAATGTTGGGCATTTCACAAAATGCACCATTTATATTTACACCCTTGGTCAAATATATGTAATGTTGGGCATTTCACAAAATGCACCATTTATATTTACACCCTTGGTCAAATAAATGGAATGTTGGGCATTTCACAAAATACACCATTTATATTTACACCCTTGGTCAAATAAATGGAATGTTGGGCATTTCACAAAATGCACCATTTATATTTACACCCTTGGTCAAATATATGGAATGTTGGGCATTTCACAAAAATCAGTACATTGTCTTCATGATTGCATGAAAGTATGCAAGAGAGATTGTTCTAAAATGGCCTGTTAAGAAATGTATTCCAGGAAACCTGTATTAGAAGAATATTAAGCAAATATTTCATTCTATGGAGGGCAATACCTGTTCATCTTTCAATAATTTTTGCAGTATGTATTGCCCGCAGCCTGTAGGGTGAGGGAAACACATGCTGCAAAAACCATTGAAAGTGCAACAGGCATTGCAAAGAAATATAGAATATTTGTTTCGATTTGTGAGCATTTATTTTAATTAATAAATATATCATAAACCCATAAGTTACATAATTACGTACAAGTATTATTGTGTAGTATATTTTTATTTCACCTATCCAGTGCAGTTGTCAGAATTCCCAGGTGGGCAATACAGCGGGCAATACGTCTTTTATAATCCAAAAACAGAGAAAGCTGTGAAAAACGCTTAAATTGGTATTTTTGACCACATGGTACTGAATCAGTCAATCAAATTACACAATTTCTAGCAATGATATATTAAACTCTTTTATCAGAATATTCTCCAAGATTTTAATGGATGCTGACAGATTAGTTCCAGGGAAATGAAAAATGATAAAAAGATAACTCTAAAATGTTCTTGGCAATAAAATAGACATTGACATAAACTTCATTTTCTGTACGATCAAAACTTGATGAAGATGTAGACTGATGATTAATCGCTTTTTAAAATTGAAAAAGGTGTAAGGAATTCATTCAATTTCGAGCTTTTCATACTGCTAAACTTGCTCGATGATGAATATGTTCCATGTTTTGATATTTTCAGAAAAGGTTTTTGTCCAAGTCTTGATTGCGTGACAGATTAAGAATTAGTTTAGGTTACAGTGTGGGCAGTTTGAGAATTTTCAAGAGGCCATACATCAGTGGATGAGAGTACCCAAAATATAAAATATACATTTAAGGGGATATATATCCAGACAATATTGGAAACTATGGGCTTTCAAACCATGCACCATGGTTTGGATATGGTGATAGAAAATTAAATACTCATTTATTTATTGCCCGTCTGAGAATAATACAACTTTTTAAATAGCATTAATAATGTAAAGGGAGGGGGGGGGTAAAGGGAGCCTTTAAATAGATTAACAACTTACAACTAAGTTCTTAATCAGGTTTTTATGTCACTATGGTGATGGCATATTGTTATGGTCTCCTACTTTTTTGTGAACAGTTTTCATTGTTCGGCAGTTGGTGTTTAGCATTCATTGATTGGTGTTTTATTTTGGTGGTATGCATTCCGGATCTGTAACAAATGGCAGGTGGTAATATGTTGCACTGTACTGTACTTGTACTGTTTTGATGATTCTATCTTTCAGCGTCTCTTATCTGGGAAGGGGATCATATGGTCAGTGATGTTTATACAATCTGTGGGAGATTTGATGAAAGAGCCCACATTGCTCATAAGTTGACATTTTCATTAAAGATTACATAACCAGTTATTGATTATATCATTCAATAACTCATAAATCAACTCTTAAAGTGACAGTGTATTTTCCTTGTGAAATAAGAATGAGCCTATTGATGAATTACCACAAGCAAATATAAATACTAAATGAGTTAATCTAAGACCCAATGGATTTTTCAGAAAAATATAATTCATTTAATTTTTGAGATTAGTTAGCTTATCCTTAGCTTGTGAATCATCCACAGTTGCGTGTTATAAATAAATATGTTATTTTAGATAACGAATTAAGGATGACATATCCAAAATTGAATCATCTAGAGGACAGATGATTTTTCCAAAAAGAAATAAATAAAAATCTGCATGATAAACAAGGTGAATGGGAATTCATGAGCATGGTTTTTTGATAATGACCTGTTCTTTCTTCTATGATAATAATTCAGACCATCGGGATTCAGCGATGGGATTGGAACCAATGGTACTCGAACCAATGGGATTCAGATGATTGGGATTCGGACCAATGGGATTCGGACCTATGGGATTTGGACCAATGGGGTGATCCTGTTTTTTCACTATGATAATATTCATTCTCTATGAGGTGATAGGCAGTTAAAAAGTGTGCCTAATATTGACTAAGGCTACATTCGTTTTGCTCTTATTCCAACCCATTAATTTTTGTGTCCTTAGATCAGACACATGCACTTGACAGCGAACAAATGATTGATGTCAAATTATGAGATATTTTCTTTCCTGAACTTGCTCATAAAAAGATGCTAATTTCCCTTCATATTTTTGCAAATGGGTGTTTATGTATATAGTCATGACTCAAGGACGTTGAACAGGGGACATCAATGGAGAAATTGATGGTGTCTTTCCAGTAAATATTTGTTGGACATCATTCCTTAATGTATTACACAATAAATGTATAATAAAGGCGCCCAGAGTTATTGCAAAAGTCCATGCTGTTAAAAGTACAAGTTCTAATGATCTTAGGGTTCAATGTAGAAAATGTTTAATGATGTTTAAGTGTCAGATTAGAATTAAAAAACATAAGTATTTTATCTAGATTGATACTAAACTTGATTGTTCTTTTCTGAGATATTTATATTGGACTCAAGGAATCATCTTCAAATCTAAAGCATTATTTTTATTTTAACTATTGAGATAAGCTCAATATGCTCCTAACAATTATATGTGGGAAACTAAATCATGCTCTGTAAAAGTGATGTAGGGCCCCATATTGGAAGAATAATG